ACGGAAATTTGTCTTACAATTTGTGCATTACACCAAACAAAAAACATATCTATAAGAAACCAAAGTGTACATTCACACCAGCTATCGGTGTCTTGGTATCTCTTTTTTGATGGTAAAATCACAAAATCCTGACAAAAAGGGTGATTCTTTATTTCGAGGATATTGTTAGCTTTTTTATAGATGTTTGTCTCAAACAACTGCCCAAATGGGGTTTGTTTTTTGCCAATGATTTTACCAGCAGCATTTAGGATTCTGTAAAGTTTATTATAAAACTTCATCGGTATTCTTTCATTCAATCTACATCTATTTTTTTTTTATTGGTTTATCTTCTTGTTTCTACACTTATTTGTGTGATTGTTATAATTTTTTACAAAGCTTATATTGAATTACTCCGTCTGTCTGTATATCTGTATGCATATCTGTATGTATATCTGTCTGTATATATGTCTGTATATCTGTCTGTTGTTCTTCCAATTTTCAACTCTCGGATCAAGTTGAAATTTCGCTCAATTATTCATTGTTGATGACAACACGTGACTTGATACAAAAATAACCAATCAATTAATCAACCAGTGGTATTGTTTTTTTAGTAAAAGGGATGAAAAAACGTGCAATATAGAGATGAGAGATATGGCAGCGATGGAAATGTGCTCTCCCTTCATTCTCTATAAGCTTTGCTTTGTTTTGTGGTCATATTTTGCTTATTTTAAAGCTCAATTGAGCAGAAAATAAGTGGATTTTTGTTATACATTTGAGACAGGGCCAATATAAGTCAACTGCTTCATTCAACATAAAAATAGTTCTCTCTAAAATCAATTTTGCAGTACGGAGGTATAGGGGATGCAATGAGTTCGAATTTCAAACTCGGGACTATCTTGATAACAGTCCAAAGTGCACATATATATTGATCACAACAAATGTAATAGCTAGTTATGAGAAACATTCGCAGGCCAATACACTGTGTATGTGTGTGTGTGGTTCAATGAGTTTAACTATGTATTTTACGAGAAAATGTACTTGTCATCCTTAGTTGACAATTTGTTGGGTTTTTTTTTCAGCTCATTTCCAGAGGCCTGTCACTGAAGGTGAATTGGGGTCGGACAAACAGAAAGGTCAGTTGAGATGGAAACTTTTGACGATTTATGCGCTTGTTTGTTTCTGTTTTTTATTTTGTTTGTTTTTTCCTTTGTGTGCGTTTAAGTGAGTGTGTGTGTATTTAAGTGAGTGTGTGTGTGTGTATGTATGTCTGAGGAACATGGGAAAAAACGAGAGGAGATCATCACTGCGGCTTGTGCAATAAATTTCACAAGCAGAATTTAGCGGAATAGACATTCTGATAAAAATCATTTCCTACACAACTGAATAATCTCTGTCCTTTTGTTTTTTTAAAGTTCCTGAGTCAGACCCCCGGTCAGACATTGAAATTATTTGTAACAATATGTTGAATATTAGTTACACCATTTAATGTAAAAAAAAACAACAGTCGAATAGCAATTCTTTTAGTAAAATCGTTTTTTTTAAACTTAATTAATTTTTCATTATAAAAATTGAGCTAGTTTAGTCCATATATGATCACATCTATTATTTACCGTGGTCCTTTCTTATTAATCTGGCATTGTACACACCGTTTTTAATATATATCATAAAAAAAACAACACTTAATTATCCCAAAGCCATAAGTTAATTTTAGATGACCCCACCGACATTAGTGCTCTTTCTGTATGTTTAAGGAAATTACAGGTTTGTGTTTACCTCGGTTTGTCTCCCCTTCACATGGGCGTAGTCAGGATTTTTTGTGTGTGGGGGGGGATTTCTCTCTCCCCCCCCCGCCAAAAAATATAAGTGTGTGTGTCCACATAATCAATCTTTATTACGAGCGCTGCGAGCTCCCCCAGCGCGGGGCGGAGCCCGCCTTCAAGCACTTTTTACGGCATTGAAAGCCAACAAAATGCATATTCTGAGGTATCTCCTGCTATTTAAAAGTTTTATTTCAAAAATCTTATGAAGATACTCCCGCGTCGTTTAGCGCAATAGGTGGCAATCTGCTTCCACAAAAATCTGTCACTGGCAATGTCTGAAGCCTCTTCACACCTGCTCTGAGGACCTTAATGAAAGTGTGGCAGTTGTACTGAATGTCCCTCTTTGCGCTTTCATCGTAATGGTCTCCATGTCATGGCAACTCTTATTATGCGTAATTCATTTTGTCGGAGAACATGTCCCGCAAACCTCATGCGAAGCTCTGTCACAACCTTACTAAGGGGTCGACTACCAGTTCGGCATAGGATTTCCTTGATTGAGACCCGATCTCTATAACTGACTCCTAAAATCCGTCTAGCCATCTTTGTTGAGCCACATTTAGTGTTTTTCAATTTCGGCAGATGACTATTCACTGCACTTTATTAATGGAGTCCAGCCACTGATAGAAATGTGTAATCTCTTTTGGCTACACTATTAGAATTAGGTGACTGTAGTTTGCTTTAGATTTTATATCTAAGAGGAAAGTTTTATTGTCAAAATCATCTTTTGAGGGGTTTTAAACTAAAAAATCTCTGGAGTTTTTTTCTGTGTTTTTTTAAATTTAAAACCCCATTTAGCTACGGTCATTAAATTTAGTGACTTTAGTTTGCTTTAGAATAAAATTGAAAAGAGAGGTTTTCAACCTCAAAACTCTCTGAATGGAGGTGTTTAAACTCAAACCACCAGGAGGGGTTTTCAACTTTAAAAAAGCCTTCTGGAGGAGGAGGGGGAGGGGTTAAACTCAAAACCCCACTATGGCTACGATCATAGCATTTTGAGTGTGTAATTTAGTTTTTTTTTATATTCAAGAGGTATTTTTTTAGCTTAAAAACCACGCTGGAGGGGGGGGGGGGGGTTAAATTCTAAATCCCCTTTGGCTGCGATCATAGCATTTAGTGTGTGTCATTTGCTTTTTTTATATTGAAGAGGTGGTTTGTAGCTCTAAGTCCCGATGGATGGGGGTTTTAAACACAAAACCCTTCTTGGCTACGCTCATAGAATCTGGTGATTTATGTTTGGATAGTCTTATATTGAAGAGGGGGGTTATCGTATATTTCGGAGGGGGGTTTAAAATCAAAATCTTCCTTCGCCATGCTCTTGGAATTTGGGTATTGTTGTTTGCATAATTTTATTTTAGTTTTGTTTTATAAAAGATGGGGGTTTGACTGCAAAACCTCATGGTAGTTTTTTTTAAACTCACCTCCCCCCTTTTGGCTCCGCTAGGGCAAGTAATGGTTTAGTATTAAAAGCTCACCTAAAATAAACAGAATCAAAGCAAAAATCAGTCACTAAATTCCGATCCTCCCCTGCGGGGGGGGGGGGGGAATTTCATTTGGAGGGGGGTATGAACACCCCCCCTTATCATGGCTACGCCCATGCCCCTTCATCTAGATGTATCTGTAAACCTTTTCTCACCTGTGATAAATTAAGAAGCATGGATTGTTATTAGGGTGTCAGACTTAGAAACTAGCATTACACACCAGCTACGCCTGTTGTTTATTTTCCCAGGCTATATATTGTTTATTTTGCCTTCGATCCCCCTCTCCCTTTTTTTTTTACTAATAGCTTTGACCTGGCCCTTAAATTCAATTATAACTTCCCCCGACCCCAAATTTTCGCCTTAACAAAAAATCTTATTTACACTATCAATGCTTATTTTGAAATATTTAATAGGCTCTATGATATTATTTGGCCTCTAATAGCTCTTAATTCACATGCAGCTCTCTAGTGTGCATCTTGCGAACCGTAAATTCGCTGTTTTCACTCGAGTGCATTAATTCATTTTTAGAGGCTCTAAGTATTTTAATTAAGATTTTTAACTGCTGAATACATATTTCACTGGCGTTTTTAGCATATACTTTTTTCTTTCTTTAGATGACCAGTGGTACCATAGATTTATGGCCATGTGTATTGTGTCCGTTGTCTTCTGCTGTTCCACCATCACGTTTCTGACACTACTGTGCTATTCGTTATTCGGCAGAAGTCACAGCAGTTTAAGACACAGAACTTTAGCAAGAGAAAGTAAGTACGCCATTCACTGTTATATATATATATATATATATATATATATATATATATATATTGTATCGTTATATTAGGCCTCACAGCTGGCCTGCGATTGCGATGTCACAACCTGTGAGTGGTTTAGACTAATAGCTCCATGCCACGTCACAGGTTAGGTAGGGAGATTGGTCTAGGTTATATCCGGCACGAGACGCGGTGCTGTCTGGTCTATGAAAACTTGTGCCGAAAAAGCAGGTAGAAGCCGCTCAAACTTAATTCCTTGGATTCGACATTTTGTTGTGACTTGTAAAATGGACAATTTGGACAATATAAATAGCCCCCAAATCTTCAAAACGTTATGCGACACTGACATAGATAAATACCTAAACGTTTTGTTTTTTTTAAACATTTTAGAAAAAAATTTTTGTGTGTCTTTTTTTTACAAAACTTATATCAACTCTCTCTGGTAGTCTGGTACAAATCTAGTACACGTTATTCCACCAACTTCTTATCCTCAGATTAAGTTAAAACTTTGCACAATTTTTCATAATCGATGCCAACACATGAATCGGTCCAAATTTTTTAAAATTTACTAAATAATTAATTAATTAGTGGTAATTGAATTAATTTTCGTTTTAGATAGAAATAGGGAAACACATCTAATTGCAGTATTGAGATGCTGCAGTAATTTTGTGCTTCTTTTCTTTGTATAAGCTGTTTTTTGTTTAAAGTATTTGTATATTTTGATTGCTTTTTAACGACAACCTTTTCATAATGCACCAAGAATACATGTGAAATAACATGTTCTCTCTGTCATGGCCACTGTTTCTCTTTTGAAGGTTTGCCCCCAAGGTTAACCAGGAGACAGTGCAGTCGCAGAAGTGAGTACAACGAGGATGGAACTATCCGATACTCGGACCTAACGTCAGTGGCCACCAGCAGCACCTACGCTCAATGTGGGACGTGAAAGCAACCCAACAGTAGTTATTGTCGTCTCAACACTAATCAAGGCATGGGTGAAAGTGTCTTCAGGACGCACACCCTGACCTTAAATAAATGTCAAACTGAACTGCTGGGGAGAAAAAAAACAAAACAAGGATAAATACATAATAGAGAGAGACAATCACTGTAACAGTGGAAACCTCTCTTGACCTCTGACCTCAATCCTCTTGTCCACAAAGAGACACTTAACCTAATGGTGAAAGCCGTGTGATTGAAAATGGAAAGAAATGTACATTTTTTTTTTCATAACAGAACTGTTTTTTTTTAATGTTTTTTTTTTTCAAAACAAGTTGAAAAAAAAAGTAACGCTTCTCACTCTTTGCCTATCCCAGAAATATAAAATTACAAATATCAAAGAAAAATTGCAAATTCTTTTGTAACGTATACGTTTTATTGAATACGAAGATAATATTTGTATTTCTTAAGACACACAAAGTAGTCATTGTTTCCAAAACAAAATGTGGCAAGACTAGCTCCCAATACATTCAATAACGTACATTTGAATCAACGGCATTCTTTAAATAACATATGTGTCTGAAAGGGACATACTGGGAGCAAATATATTTAGTACAGAAAAATAAATACTCGACTGATCAAGATTTCAACAAAAACAAGAATTGTTAATAATACAAAAAAAAAGAGCATAAAAGTATCCCCTTCCAACATGAATGTAATACTGTTGTACATAGTGATTAGCATGAGGAAAAAACGAATCTCACAAGCACACAATTGTAACATTTTTTTGTTGTAAAATTTGTTTGCTTTGTTACCATACATTTCCTAATGCTGCATTCATAGACTTCATAGAGAACTGGAAATGGACAACCGTACATCCTTTTGCTCTATATGTTGCCTTAATGTTAATATTTCTACATTTTTGTTGTGTAACATAGATTTGTGTATTTATATTTATTTGTCAATCACTTTGCCTCGATGAGATTAACTAAAAATTGTTGTTAATTAAATTAAATTTTTGTGTTAAGCCTGGGTTGTGTTTTAATATTTTTTGGTACAATTTAACATTTTATAAAGTTACACTTTCGTTATTGGCTTCTCACAGCATCAAAGAAAATAAAGGCCTATTAGTAAATCATTAAAATAGTCTTCTATTTCTAAATTACGGAAGCATTAAAGTAGTCTTCTACTTCTAAATTATAAAGACGATGTCTATATACGTAGCTAGTTTGCTGGATGCGCAAACATTTACTACACATGAAATTTCTGAAATGGCTCTCGTTTATTTCCTAATTCCTGCCAATATTCTATCAAAGCTGGTCCTGCTGATGACGTTGCATTGGAGACCGCTTGGCAAGCATCAATGGGTCCGTAAAGTAAAAAAAACGATAAAAGAGAGTTTCACATTTTATCGGAACTCTCGCCTAGTTTTTTTTCCCTTCAAGCTTTAGGAGAAATATACTTGCGTAATCTTATTTTGCACCAAAGTTTTTAGATAAAATTTCGAGGCCTTTATCCAGCTAATAGTCTAGACTAGAGTTTAGATCTAGTAGAACACTTCTCAGCACCTACTAAGAAATGCGACACACTTGACAATCCTCTTCCTCCCCTCCCACAACTGAAGTATGAGGGAAACCCAGACATATGGCTTTAGCTCAGTGTTTCTCAAACTTTACTGTTGACACTCTGGTAACAAAATTTTCGTCCCCCTGTTTGCCAGCTGTGTACCGAGAAGAACGCTGTAGGCTTCCACACTGAAGAAAAAGGTTTTTATGAATGTAATGAAAATGCAGAGATGCTTTCAAAAAAATACAATTTTAACAAAATTTTGCAGTTTCATTTTACATTTAGACTGCTTTGATCCCAAAACTAAATGTTCATTGAAGGGCCACACAGTTTGAGAAATCTAGTCTACCTGCAGCATTAAGTTTTTACGAGTCAAGAGCTAAGGTTAACAATTAACACTCTAGTATATCAAAATATATTAAATTTTTAGATATAGATCTAGGCCTAACAATTATAACATAAGCTTTTAAAATCCACCAACTGATATCTGATGCTAAGAGCTTAATTGATTGACTAGAAAAATCTATATTGCTACGAGTTCTAATTCTAATTCACTTTACGACAATTTTAGACAAACCAACAGAAAATAATCTTCTTCAGTTTCTTGACCCCAGTTGAGTGTTTTGTATGTATTAAGACATGGGCTAGGATGGTTTATTGATCTTTCTTGGAAATGGGACGTGATAACAAGGATGTTTTTAAAGTGTTATTAAAAACAAACACATGTATTTTGAATGTTTTATATTTCTGTATTTTGTAGAGTTCTAGACCGAAGTTCTTCTTTTTTTTTTAGCCATTTGTCATTCAGAATGACGTTGTTAAATTTCATGGTTAAATATACCACAAAGTATTGCACATCATAAAAGTTGCACATCACAACAGAATACATACATATGCAGTTTATCTCCAGATTAGTAATAGAAATAAATGTCAAGACCACTTTCCAGCTTTCAACGAAAACAAATGACAGACCTGAAAATTTTAGTTAATTTGACGTTAAAGGTGAATCTAATCTGAATTTTGCTTAAACTTTGATGTAATGAGTTCTATCAACTCATTCTGTCTGTCTGGTACAAAGATTCTATCAACTCATTCTGTCTGTCTGGTACAAAGCTACTATCAAATCATTCTGTGTCTGTCTGGTACAAAGCTTCTATCAACTTATTCTGTCTGTCTGGTACAAAGCTTCTATCAACTCATTCTGTGTCTGTCTGGTACAAAGCTCCTATCAACTCATTCTGTGTCTGTCTGGTACAAAGCTTCTATCAACTCATTCTGTGTCTGTCTGGCACAAAGCTTCAACTCATTCTGTGTCTGTCTGGTACAAAGCTTCTATCGACTCATTCTGTGTCTGTCTGGTACAAAGCTTCTATCGACTCATTCTGTGTCTGTCTGGTACAAAGCTTCTATCAACTCATTCTGTGTCTGTCTGGTACAAAGCTCCTATCAACTCATTCTGTGTCTGTCTGGTACAAAGCTTCTATCAACTCATTCTGTGTCTGTCTGGCACAAAGCTTCAACTCATTCTGTGTCTGTCTGGTACAAAGCTTCTATCGACTCATTCTGTGTCTGTCTGGTACAAAGCTTCTATCGACTCATTCTGTGTCTGTCTGGTACAAAGCTTCTATCAACTCATTCTGTGTCTGTCTGGTACAAAGCTCCTATCAACTCATTCTGTGTCTGTCTGGTACAAAGCTCCTATCAACTCATTCTGTGTCTGTCTGGTACAAAGCTTCTATCAACTCATTCTGTGTCTGTCTGGCACAAAGCTTCAACTCATTCTGTGTCTGTCTGGTACAAAGCTTCTATCGACTCATTCTGTGTCTGTCTGGTACAAAGCTTCTATCGACTCATTCTGTGTCTGTCTGGTACAAAGCTTCTATCAACTCATTCTGTGTCTGTCTGGTACAAAGCTCCTATCAACTCATTCTGTGTCTGTCTGGTACAAAGCTCCTATCAACTCATTCTGTGTCTGTCTGGTACAAAGCTCCTATCAACTCATTCTGTGTCTTATCTTCTTATCTTATATGATACAGACGTTACTTCAAAAAAGAAGATGATTACGTCCTACGCGTAATCCATTTAGTCATGCGAATGTGAATATTCGTTTGTTATGAATCTCACTGCTCTATTTTGTGTTTGTTCCAGTTTCTTAATGTTTTCTTGAGTTGAGGGGTCCCAAACGGTGGATGCATATTCTATTATTGGCCTAACCAAGGTTAAATAACATTTTAGTTTTATGTTCTTAATTGATTTATAGACATTTCTTTTAATAAACCCTAATGCTTTGTTGGATTTTTTTGTAGTTTCATCAATATGTGGACAGTTTTTCATTTATTATAACACCTAGGTATTTTGCGTTTTTAGTCTGTGTTACTGGTTTGCCATGAATAAGATAAGTGGAATTAATTTGTTTTAGTTTTTTTGTTACTCTCAACAACTGACATTTTCCTGGGTGGAAAGACATGCTCCAATTTGATTTCCATTTCTGTAATTCATTTAATTCTCTTTGTAAAATATCTGTGTCTTGTGTTGTTTTTATTGTTCTATATATTATGCAATCATCTGCAAATAATCTGACTTTTGTTCCTGAAGTAATGCAATTTGGTAAATCATTTATGTAAATTAAAAATAGTAGTGGACCCAAGACTGTTCCTTGAGGTACACCTGAGTTTACTGTTATTGGTGTTAATTTAGAGCCATTTATTATTACAGTTTGTTCTCTCCCTATCAGAAAATCTTTAATCCACTGATGCAGTGGACCATTAATGCCGAAATATTTTAATTTTTTAAGCAAACTATGGTGGTGAACTTTGTCAAAAGCCTGGGAAAAATCTAGTAAAATAGCATCTATTTGTTCACTATTATCTAAACCTTTTGAAAAATCATCAATTAGTCCTATTAGTTGTGTTTCACGTGATCTATATTTCCTAAAGCCATGTTGGTATGGGGTGATAACATTATGTTTGTCTAAGTGGTTTATGATGTTGCTACATATTATGTGTTCTAGGATTTTACATGTGATGGTGGTAAGTGATACTGGTCTGTAGTTTCCTGGATCAGATTTTTCTCCTTTTTTAAATAGGGGGGTGACATTAGCTTCTTTCCAGTCCTTTGGTACTCTGCCCTGGTTAAGCGATGCCTGAAAGAGTATTTTGAACACTGGGGCTAGCTCATTGCTTAGTTCTTTGAGTAATCTAGCTGGAATACCATCAGGTCCAGATGCTTTATTTGGTTTGGTGTTGGATAATAGTTTTTGAATTCCATTTTCTTGTACTACTAAATCTTCTATGTTGTCTACTTGGTTCAAATTAAGAAATATGTCTTTGTCTCCTGGGGCTGAGAATGCTGATGCAAAGTATTTGTTTAGGATGTTTGCTTTAGTTTCATTATCATTTATGTATTATGTTATGTTCATCTTTTAATGGCGCTATGCCTGTTGTTTCCATTTTCTTAGACTTAATGTATGACCATAGGTTTTTGTTGTTATCTTTAGATATTACATTGTTTATGTATTCACTATGCAGCTGTCTGCTTACTTTTTGGGTTAGGTGTTTAATTTTTATATACTTTTTGTGAACTCTTTCTGCCTTGGTTTCTTTAAATTTTCTATATAGGTTTTCCTTCTGTTTACAAGCTTCTTTAGTCTATTATTAAACCAGCATTTATTTATTTTGTTTGATGTGTATTTAGTTGGTATATGATTTTCTATAATGCTTTTAAGATAGTTTTTTATGAAATTCCAGAGGTCATCGACTGGTTGGTTAATGTCTTTTTCTAATAAGAATGTTTGTTGAAAGTTTAATGCAGCTTGGTGTAGTTGTGTTAGGTTACATTTATTCCAGAGTAAGATTTTTCTTTTGGGTTTTGTATTGGCTACTGCTTTTATCTGACTGTGTATTTTTATGATCTCATGGTCTGATAGACCAGGGATAATATCATAATCAACTACTAATCCAGGTCTGTTGGTTAAGAAGAGATCTAATGTGTTTGTTTAATCTAGTTGGCTTTTTAATGATTTGATCTAAACTTAGGTTGTGTAAAGTTTCTATGAAAAGCTCATTTATGTCCTTAAGGTTTTGGTGTTTATCTATGGTTAGTGTTTTCCGATTTATATCAGGTATGTTGAAATCACCCATAATCCAAAAAACTGCATTTTTATTTGTCTCTTTAAGTGTAGTAATCTGATTACATAGTTCCTGCATGTATTCTAAACTAGAATTTGGTGGTCTGTAAATGCTGCCTATTATTAGGGATGTTGAGGTGGTATTAATTTTACAAAATGTAGATTCTATATTTTTTGAGTTAGGTAAGGTAATTTCTTCTGCTATAAGAGTGTTTTTTATTGCTAAAAGAACTCCTCCATGATTATCAGCCCTATCTTTTCTAAAAATTTCATAATTACTATTGAAAATTTCTGCATTATAAATTTCAGGATGTAGCCAAGTCTGTCTGGTACAAAGCTTCTA